TTATGTCGCATGGTGCCATTTACCGTTAACAGGCTAACCTTTTGCAGTATCTAAACTCCATCCTGAGGTTTCAGGAGAGGTCTTCGGTGTAAGAGGGGAGCAATCTGCTCCATAATCAACTAATATTGTTACATGCTATAACTGTGTCAGTAGCTGAGTAATAAGCAATAAGCATGAAATGGTAAAATGAGCTTGCCAAATTTCTCATCTTCACGTCGTGATTCTGTAGGACACTTGGGATTTCCTGCGAGCATGCGGTCTCTTTATAGGGGTTTGGAGGTCAGCAGGACTACACGGCAGATTCGGGGTTCTCATGAGCGATATCACTTGCACTTGGTACGACTGCGGCCATGCCTGATTTAGCCAGCCCCGATAATTTCCCGTATATAACTTCTCCACGCGTGACGATTTGCTGCAACTAACCTGGACAGCTCAGCCTATTGTATTCTCTAACGATGGACACCAAGTACTGGAACTCCAACAATCAGATCCTTGTGAAAATTGTCGAAAAAGAGTACGACTGAAATGATAATATCTGGTTTATTAAACATCAGGCTGACATACCCAATGTCATGTGTTATACCACGCGAGGCTCAAGAGTGAACCCCGTGACGTACTGTGTAGTATAATTTAACTCGTGATGCGAACGGCAGAAAACATAAGGAAACCACCACATCCGTATTTCTTGGATGACCTGAAATATCTTCGTGATATTGTCGCAGTGAGTGTGGGCTGCCTCATCTGGGCCAAAGTCGGTGTACTCCACTCAAACAATGGTCCTCAGGTAGCGGTGGTCAAATACCCCACATCTTCGCTCATATTCCACTTGCAATGCCCAGCATTCACCCTACAGGGGAACTACTCGAGTGGATGCTTGTATACCTTTTTGGAACTCAAACTCCTTTCTGGAATTAGTAATGCAGTTTTAGATCAATTTTTCGAGCAAAGCCATACGCCAACTAAATGTGGCAATCTAGATAAGCTCTTCATGTGGTGTTTGCACTTCACTATAGACAGTTGGCATTCACGTATCGCGTAGCCCTGGACTTTCATCTCACGTGCTGGTCGATGTGCTTAAAAAATTATGCTCGATCACATACCAGTTGTCATGTGGAACTGAATTCGACTGTCACCGTATTTGAAGGTAAAAATCTTTAGGACGCTAGAGTCTTATAGTACAGAAAAAATAGCAAGATGCTGACGCTGGAGTTACATTCACTGATTCATTCTCCGGAGGAAGAACGTCCGATGCCATCGCGCACAATATACCAAGGGGTACCTCTAACCTTCCCGACATTCATAGGAGCTTTGTATCTAATTCAAAAACAAAGTAAGCCTTTCAACGAAGCAATATTTTCTCTCCCCCTAGGAAGCGCTCATCTGTACTCTGAGTAGATTGTGGTAGACGCTTATCGGTCATGCCATATATAGATTCATCCAATTCCATCACGCCAGCGTCTGTGTATCACTTGCAAAACCGACCGACTTATCAGCTGTTATTCACGCAGTTGCATCCCTGATAACATTTTGAGGCATTGTCAAAATCTTGATACATCGAAGTAGTGTACTATAATTTTTTTACAGCAAAAAACTGCACGACTAAACGTGAGGCCGACTGTTGCTTGGTAAACAAAAAATCCGGCGCCATGCTTGGTCTTAGTTCGAATGGGCATGACTTTTGTTACTGGACGAGAAAACGCTCCTTTCAGTACTATCTGCTGACGATAATCAAAAAACCGTCAAGCTGACACTGGTCAGACGTCGGTTGCGCAGACGGTATCTGTGAGCCCCTAGATTCGAGTTTAAAGGCCGCTATCCCTCTCCGATACACCATCTGCAGACTTGAGGCTTCTTCTTGACAGTGTGTGAAGCCGGCAAACTTCTCTATATCGTAATACAACCATGGCCTTTTATAGCCAGCTGATATTTGATGTCCGTGTTTAACCACACCTGGAGGTAATGCCACTGACTGATCTGAAATTATTTATTCGTGAGATTTATAAGTTTGCTTATTTAGTGGCTAACCCCTGATAAAGGCGGTACAACTATCCGTCATCTATGAACAGGCGCCGAGTAGCTCGTAGTTCGCTCGACAGGCAGACTCTCGGCGTTCATGCCGTACAAATAGGGCTGAATGTTAACGTCTGTTTTATTGGCCACTAGCGGACTACTCGCGTGACAATGACAACAAGGTTATGCAATGACTGTATCATAGGGGTTCTGATCTCCTCATTACAAGACATGCAATCTCCGTACTGGACATGCGTAAGCAGGCGAACTGAGGCAACTTTACGCCTGTTCGCTATGGCTTTTCGATGATCTGGATTGTGTGCCTTCGGCGCTTGTCATATCTCACGCCTTTTAACCAAACCTTCTTTGACATAGTTGATCTTAGTCTCCTAAAATATGCGGCAAACGAGCCGTTAATGGCCTACGTTGTATGAACTGCGTGACTCAATTGCTACTTTAGTTTGCGTAATTCTGCCGTAAGGTTACTGTTTACAGATTAACGCTTTGATATTTTATTTTCCGCCGCGTCGTGTATCCCCAGGAAAATAAGTCCAGCAGGAGTGTCCCTATCTGGTTTTCATTTCTATATTATTATATCTAAACAAAACAAGCTTTGCTTTAGCCTATTCGCCACAGAATCTTGTAGGTTTAACCCTGTAAGTATTTGCGTTACTAGTACTGCCGATGACGATAAGTACCGTACTTCTTTCATAACAGCTATTTTGAATAACAATCACAAAACAAATTGATTTGGCTATAGAGAACACTTCTTAGTGAACCTCCGATACACTTCAGCTGAGAATGTGGTTTGGTTCACCCGGAAATATGGAAAAGGTGGAAGCCTGTTTAGTGCCCGCGCCCAAAAAAACTAGCTGCTCATGAGTTGGAAATTAGGTCACGTGTTGTAGCCTTCTATTTAAGACTTCCTCTATCCTTCCACGAAATGTCTGCGAGGTAGATTCTTTGCCTCTAGTAAATGATGGTCATAACTCACGCAATCCTATATCTTACTCATGGCCACTTTTAAACTTTGTATTAAAAATGGCCAGTCCCCCTCTGTCTATCGAATTTGCAAAAATAAGAACACAGTCCTCTGGGGGATATTTCGTTGTATGTCCTTCACATATGCAAATCTCACTGCCAATTCATCGACTAAGAATGTTAAACTGACTTTAGAGGATATCAGTGACTATTTGAATAATGCAGTGAGTGTTTTATGGAGTAAGTTTGTTGCGTAGGTTTCGGGCATGCAGTTATTTAAGGGCCGTACCTATCGCTCTTAAAGTATCATTAAATTGCCTTTACTTGCTCAGCTCACATTTCGTCCTGACTTTCGTGACTGCGTAAAAAGGATCCGCTGAGTGGTCAAATCCCGACAAGCCATTCTTTTTTTCAAAATAGTTGGCTATGTGTTATTTCTCGGTTTAGGAGCTGAGAGCTTGTTAGTAAAGAACCTAACCGCTGAAAAAATAAATGGAAGAAACAATACATAACTATTTATGTTTTATTTTGAATGAGCTGGGTTAAAGCTCATCCTTTTCCTTCAAAACCTCCAAGTACCTTATCCTATGCGGGCGAATCGATTCCTATTTGCTGTCCACCTAAGGTTAGCATGCTGCTCCTAATCAACAGAGTATTGATTACCGCGTCCGGGCTTCGCAATTTACTAGGTAAGGATTTATGCTGTGATATATACAAGTTCAAATACTTCGGAGTGAGGCTACTCCTAAACGGACAGAGTAAGAACGCCATTGTCTCCTGATTCGATGCTGCTCGTCTTAGAATGTGTCTGTGGATCTGACGTGACTTCTCCATCGCTTTGAAGGTTCGCATGTACTGTGCATCTGTCCGGTTTGTCCTTTATGGTTGTGAATGCTGGAATGTGTGCTTGGAAGATGAGCAAAGGCTGGAGGTATTTGAAAATCACTGCTCGAGGACCATCTTTCGAGCGAAGTACGGCGACTTCGTATCAAATGAGACAGTCGGCGCTCTTTCTGGCAAAATTGCAAATGTATGCCAGACTATCCAAGTGAGACGACAGAGGGGGTTTGGGCGCTTTGTTTGTCTTCCACCCTTCGATCTCAATGTTTCTGCCTTTGATCCGGCATTATTACCCGCTTAGAGGCTATGGGTTGATCAAATAGCTGCCTCTAAAAAGTTTGTCAAGGCATAAAAGTGGGTTTTGGAAATTCGGGAATTGTTTGGACTTTCTAGAGTTGCTGCCGCGGATTTTCACGCGTAGACACTTACGGTCCGTGGCTTTATTGAGGTCACCTAGATCGTGTCTGATTTAAGCTCTATCAAGTAAAAGTTATGGTACTTTTGGTGGCTCTTTGTAGTCACATCTTCGCAAGTCAAACTTGGCCATGTTGACCAGTTAACTCCGCGTAGATCTGTTAACTCGATTCCAAGCACCTCCAGCATTCTAGAAGACAGTGCTAGGGTTACTATTGTAGGTGTTCTGGGAACTTAACGCCCGCACTGACTGGAGTGGTCTTTTAGAACTGTGGCACGTGCACCTTCAAGGAAGGTATCTCTTCAACTTTCCTTTATGAATAAATCGGAGCAATTCCAAGCTCGCTTAGTCTGCATACCTTTTTGTGGTACTCAAATACTTTGATCAGTTTTTAACTTACACTAACTCCCGAAGAACATATTCGTGCTCTCAATTGCGTAACTTTAATTGCGTTGTTAAGACCCTCTCGCTGAATTATACTGCCTCTGACGCCTCCTCTTATACACCTTTATTGCTATTACACTTGCCAGTATCTGCGGGAGCTCTTCTTTCTTCG